ATTGGAGAACGCAAAGCAAAAAATATAGAGGACTAGCAATGAAATTCGCCGAATCAAATCTCTTAAATATGCCATCAGAAAAAGATTTGTTAATTGAACCTGGGTGGACCGGAATTATTCCATTTTTATTTTTATAATTAATGAATAAAATGGAATTTTTGCCGTATAATGGAATAAAACGGAATTTTTATGAATTTTAAATAATTTTATTCCGACACGTGACAATTAACCAATCGTTATTGCAGTATTATTGAATTTATCGTGATGGAATTTGTATCGACAATTTAGATCAGCCTGCATTAAGATGTGAGCCGGCTAGAATTATCAAATGTTTCTTACTATAATTGGTAATTTTTTATCGGAATTTTTCCCGTTATCGTGATAAAAATTTGTGATTTGATATCGGAATAATTCCGGGTCTCTGGTGGACTCGCTTTGAAAGTAATAATCAGTAGAATTTCCACGTGAAAATGTGTTGTGTTTTGATGTCAAAACGTTATTAAGTAATATCAATTATGGTCTTATTGCATGTGTTGCATCCTTAAGTGCTTGATATACCTGGATATCGCCACATTTAATTGAATTTAAAGAAAAGAGATTAGGAGAATTTTCCAAGAAAAATTGGTGAGTGTAATAAAAGATAAGAAGAAACCCTATAGTGAATTTTATGGAATGATGAAACAAGATTGAAAAAGACAAAGCTACTAAGAAATTTTGAAATAAATGACATTTCAGATCAGAATAATCAAAATTCAGCAAATGATGAAAGTATTGTTGGAAAAAATAAAAAAACCTACTGCTAGGAAAAAGAAAGGGAATAAGGGTCTTGAAAGTATAGAAAATGAGAATGAAGTAGATAACTTAAACCTTATTAAAGATCACAAAATTGTTAGTTTAATACCAATAGGAAAAGATAAGATAATAATCAGTCATAATGTTTCATTTGATTGTGCAAGAATCCAAGAGGAATACCATTGTAAAGTATCTGGTAATAAAAAAAATTTTTTTTAATTCCCTTATGTGTTACTGGTTATGAATGGAATTGAAAAAATTCTTGAATAATATATATATATCTTTTTGTTTTTATAGTAAAATAAATTCAGGATTTTTTTATTTATCTGCTGAGCAACGAGAAAACTTGTAGAATCAGAGCGCAAATTTACGGATGAAAAAGTGAAAAAATTTGTTGAATTTAAAAAAAACAAGTATGTGAGGATACCAATAAAGATTTGTTATTATTAATCAAAAGGAAATTGATCCTTATCATTAGATCTTCTCTGTAAAAATAGAATTCTTACATTAAGATGTACCAAGAGAAGAAATATGAAAAGGTGATTTATTGTATTATGTATTTTCTTTATTTATTTTATTTTTTTTTTGATGTAAAATTATTTTTTTTAGATTACAACTTATTTGTGAAGGAGTTGCACAAAATTCTATAGACGATTTGTCTTCAAAAGTTCTTAAATATATAGGATTTATTTATGAGCATACTTTTAAAGAAAAAAAATATACCTTTATTAAAGAGGTTAAAAATCTAAAATCTGGTTAAAGAACCTAATTCTCACACAATTGCACAGATTAATAATGTTATCTATGATGAATTACAAGCTGTAAAGAATGCAATTGAAGATAAATGTATAGTATCAGGAACAGAAGTATTTCAAGTTAGGCTTTCAACTTACTTAAATAAATTTAAAAGTTTAGTCAAGAGGAAGACCAAGATAGGAGTTCAAGTATTTGCAGACATAATATTAATAATTTCTAAAGTTTTATCACAAAATGAAAGATTTGATGCTTAAAATACTATTGTTGCTTTACAGGTGAGTTTAATCATCATAATTCAAAAAATGTTTTAATTTAAAATTTTGTGCACATAAAATGACCAAAACATATTATTATATTATACTATTATATAAACAAATATTTGATCAATGAGACTTTTTTTTAATAGAAAGAATTTGCAGCAAAACATATTGTAGGAGTTGATTTAAATACAGAAAACACACTTAACCTTATTGTGAAGGGTATTTGGAATAATTATTGTGTCATTCGTCATATGTTGCATTTCTGATAAGATTATTAATATTACAGAGGGTGATCACGGATACCCGAACGATTAATTAAACTATTTGAATATACTTATTATATTAACTTTTTTTTT